CGAGGGTTCGCGCTCGCAAACAACCACATACAAGTCACACCAGATTTGATCCTCAATGATATCCAAAAAGTAGTCGATGAAGAAGTCGACCGCATTATCTTGAGTCGCCGAATAGCCACTGTTGGACGAGCTTCTGTTTCAGCCGTCATCGTTGAGAGGTCGAATGGAAGTTTCCTTTTCGCATCAGCAGTCCTCAAGGAACTGTGGCACATCAAAGACACAGGCGCTAACTCAGTCTTTACACTTGTTACAAGCTGTCCCCCAACCATGGAAGCGATATATCAACAAGACATGGACCGCATTCAGAATGATCGCAACGATTTGTTTCAGTTGATTCAGATTATCTGCATAGCAAGGTCGACCTTGAGAATAGAAGAGGCCAAGGAGATCCTTCGGTTTCTAAATCCCTCGGTAACAAGGACTTACGATCTTGTCGGCGATTTGACAAGAACATGCCAGCGACTGATTAGATTTGGCGCCGAGGACACTCTCGAGCTTTTGCATCAGACTCTTTACGACTTTATTCTCGACACCTATGATGTCAACCTCGTACATCAAACCCTCGCAACCGCATGCCTCAGTTACGTCAGGGAGATAGATTGGGAATCATACTACGACCCATGGACAGACTACTGTAGAGATGCTCTTGCAGATCAATATGTCTTCCTGGAATACTCTTCGGCTTGGTTTCGGTATCATTTGAAGTTCTTTGGGCCAGATACCTACAAGATATCCCAGGATTTATGGGATTTCATCCGCTCCCCAGCTGGGGAAAAGTGGCGATATTACACGTTCCAGAAACGTACTTGGGGATCCAGAAGTCCATCGCCAACACAATCGCCTGCGTTATTCAGGGCTCAGACACCGAGTCCTTCTAGGTCTAGGAGCAGGTCCTCGAATGGGTCCAGGACTCGATCGCCCCCTGCAATAGAACGCCAACGGACCCCTTCCTCAGCTATTTGCAAGGAGAATGAAGACGAAGCCGAGGCTGGATACCTATCGGACGGCACAGACGATAGTGTGAGTACATGTGACTCTGACGGATCTGGAGGCCGTGGGCGATTGATCACCACGGATCAAACTTCTACTCGATCAGCAAAACCACCCTTGGTGTTGCTCGCTCAGTGGGACGCGGATCTTGTAATCAAAGAGATCTTCTCCCAGGCCCTAAAACTTACCCCAAGCCGCTTCCTCCACAAAATCCATGATCTTCTCGTTCATATTTCCCCGAAATCAAAGCAACAGGTTGAAGAAGACCTGGAGACACTAGTCAACAACATATGGGAGGGCACTACAGCAATACACTATGCTGCAGCCCAGCCGGGGGCAGCTTTGGAGGTGCTTCTGCCTTTCGCAAGGAATTTAGACCTGCCAGATAATGACGGGTCAACACCTTTAATCCTTGCCGCAGTCCGTGGCCATTGCCGGAGCGTACAGGCTCTTCTCAAGGCCGGCGCCAAGGTAGATGCTGTTGATCCATGGAACCAAACGGCATTGTTCACTGCGGTTGATGTTGGCGCAGTAGATGTTGTTCGAACACTTCTTGAGTTTGGGGCCGATCCCAACATTTCATCTATCAACGGTCATTCACCACTTGCACTTGCTACAGGGAAGAATAGTTCTGACATGGTCGAACTATTATTGGAGTTCTTAGCGGACCTTGACGCTCCTGCATTCGATGGAAAACCTATACCTTTCTTGGCTAGCTGGATGGCGAGTACTGATGCCCTCGAGATCCTGGTACCACATATCGACGTGGATCAAGTTTGGCGAAATGAGCGCTTGATTCACATGGCATGCTTCAAGGGATGGAAAGGGGTCGTTGATAAGCTTGTCGAGAAGCATGCGAACCTCGATGATCCTCCCAGAGATCTGCCAAAAGCTTCACCAGTGGCTCTGGCCGTTGAGTCGGGCCACAGCGATGTTTTGAGAACGCTTTTGGCTGCGGGTGCTGCAGTCGAGTGCCCCGTGAAGGGGATGAGCTCTCCCCTACACATAGCAGTGGCGGCTCAGAATTTATTGGGCTGTGAGCTGCTTCTTGATGCTGGATGCCAAGTCAACGCAGAAGACAAGGATGGAAGCACGGCCCTTTCAATAGCGGCAGATCTGAATGATCTCGACATGGTCGAATGCCTTGTCTCGCACGGAGCTGATCCAAGTACACCGGATTATGAAACACCCCTTCATATTGCGGTGGACTGGGGAAACCTTGAGATGGTCGAAGTTATTCTTTCGAGCCGGTTCTTTTCCGATATAAACGCGAAAGGCGAAAAGGAATACACTGCTCTTGGTATTGCAGCGACAACTGGGAGATTGGGCATCGTCAGTATGCTTCTTGATCATGGAGCAGATCCAAACATACGGAATGGGCAGAATAACTCAAGCGCTCCACTACACCTTGCAGCCAACAAAGGTCATCGAGGTATCGTGATAGAACTCCTGAAGCGTGGAGCAGATCCTTACCCTGAAAATACCAAGGAATCAAGTGCCTTTCATGCTGCTTGTATAGGGGGCTGGTTGGATGTGATAGAAACTTTCTTGGAGGTTGTCGATGATGTTTCCGAGTTGGTCAACTTCGAATGGGGCTGGGCAGGAACGCCTCTAAAAGCAGCGGCATCAGGTGGGAGACTGGATGCAGTGAAGTTACTTCTCAGTAAGGGCGCCGACCCAAACAAACAGCTGCAATCCAAGATCAATAGGGGCCAGACTGTCATCCATGCCGCTGCAGAGGGAGGTAATACCCAAGTTTTGGAAGCTATCCTTGACGTAGTCAATGACTCGTCACTTGAGATACGTGATAGAGCTCAGAGGACACCGCTATGGTACGCTTGCGTGGAAGGACATGAGGACATGGTCAAGTATCTACTTGAACGAGGAGCGTCAACAGATGTCATCTTTGATGATGGAGAAAACATCATACCCACCATTGTGTCTGGAGGATCCGAGAAGAATTTGAAACTCGTATTGGAGAAGAATCCCAGCCTTGACACCGATTGCATCTTAGCGGATGGCGAGACCCCATTATTCAAGGCGGTTTATTCTGGCTACGGCAAGATTGTGTCAACCCTCTTGGAACGTGGTGCAGACGTGAACAGGAGATCGAAATATGGAAACGTTCCAGTCTTTGGGGCGATCACCAATCGTCAGAATGAGACTTTACGGATTCTTCTCGAGCATGAGTCCATCGATCTGACTCAACGGGACTCCTTCGACCGGACTGCGCTTCAGATAGCACAGCAATCGGGAACACGCTTGATGCCTGCCATGGTGTTAGGTTCTGCCAAAGACTCGGATGTAGAGAGGATACTTACCGAGAGCCGAGACATGTATGGGCTTAACGCTTATGACCTGACCAGACCTGAAGCCAACAATCCAGTACCATTCGATCGCTGTGTCGAAGGTGTACGTCGGGACGCCCAGAGCCTATTGGATGATTTTGACCTTTACGGGGTAAGATGGGAGCGCCTTGGCAAGTTTCTGCTCCAGCTTGGGTCGTACAGTTTCGCCCAAATTGCTCTGCAAAGAAGTGCTCGAGCTGTAGAGACAAACCCCTTAGTTTTGAAGCATGACAACTACTGTGATATTTGTCTTGACACAATTGCAGGCCCTCGTTACGTTTGTTGCACATGCTGCACAGTCGACCTCTGCGAATTGTGTGTCAGACAGGACAAGAAGCCGGGAAATCGTACTTGGACCTGCGATTATCACACCTTTCTTGCTATTCCCTTGCCCAAGATTCAGGCCCCAGACATAATGTTGAGGACTGAGGTTGACTTCCACATACCAACGCGGCTGTCTCCCATCGAAGAGGTAGCATCTGAAACTAGCCAAGGGTGGACAGAAGCAGATGGCAATGAACCTTTTCGGCTGCCTCCATGTCTGCAGGATGATGAGGATGCCCAGGATCGCGTTTCTCTATCCTCAGGTGACACTCCAAACAACCATGCAATGGCAATCGAACCTCTCGCCACACATTCCTTGGCGGCAGTGACTAGCTATTCTTTCGGTGATGTTGGACTCCCAGATAAAGCGACTGACGATAGCAGTGCGTTAGCAAAGGAAGAGTGGTCAGACAGAACAAAGGACGAGCTTCGAGAGTTTCTTGAAGCAGTTCTCAAAACTTTCACTGCCTACCAGACGCCGAATGGAATATCCAAATGGAACTTTTCGGTCGATGGGTGGACTTTGAGATATAAAGATGATGCTCTGAAATCCTCATGGGTGGAAGGGGATGAGAATGCGAGGCTTATCCAGCCTGTACGAGAGTGGACGTCGCTTCAGCCGTTGACAGAGGCATACTATTACCTGTCAGGGCTTTCGTATCTCATGGCAGACGTACCACTGTACCTAGTTGCAACTGGACTAGCGTTCCACGGGTATCAAGATAACGCCTTGAAAAGAAGGAGGAGGCTGCAGCGGCTGCATCATAAGGTGATATTTCCTGTTAAGCGTCACGGGGAGGTCGTAGTGTGAGTAGAGAGGATCAAGACGACGAAGCCAAACAGAAAAGAAGCCGCAGAAGCAGCATGTCGATTGGATGGTGTTTGGTGGCATGAAAGAACCTAGGGCTACTGGTATGGTCACGCCGTCTGTCTGCAACTGGCAGTGCCAGCGCTTGAACGACTACCAAGCCACTGCTCAGTGATACTCAATATATAGGTAATTAAGCACCAGGCAGTTTTCCAGTGGATAGACAGTGAGTTGTACTGTTTGATGACCCCACTTCGACTGAGAGATACGTGCACTTGTCATTGTTCCAAATCTGGGCCAGATTTTCTCCCTCTTGTTCTTCCTCAGTACCGAACACATAAGACGCAGAAGATATATAAATACAGACGAGAGACACATATCGAAACGCAAATCTGCACCCTCATCCACACACTTCCACAAGCAAAGCTAAACGAAAGCAAATATATCCTCTCTTGACACCTACATACGATACCCAGCCGTCAACTACCTTCATCCACAATCTAACCTGAAGTACCCAAGCCTAAATCGACATGACTATACAACAACAGGTTGATCACTACGTCCGCCAGCCGGGGGCCCCAATGCCAGTCGAACACGTATGTGTTAATTGTAAGTCTGGCATGCGCCGGGCATTGGACTTCTACTGTAGGGGATGCAGCTGGCGCAGTTTTGCTTGGGGCTGTTGCAACCTTTGCCTGAAAAGTCTTGACTCCCTCGAAGGTCGAGGCTTCTGCTTCCGATGTGTACCAAAACAAAGACATGAGTTTTCGAACTTGCCACCTCCTGAGGATTGGGAGCTGGCGAAGAGGGACGCCATGTTTATACTCGCGTCCTTCTATAGACCAATGCCTGTCTGTCTTTTTTGTCGCAAGTTCTCAGATGGTGGTATCGACTGTGGTGAGCACAGTGATTTCGATGATGACAATCGTCAAGATGTTACCTCAATTGACTCCACAGATGCCATCATGGTAGGGAAATATCCGCAGCCAAGCACCCACAGTTTCGCCTGGGAGCAACGACAGGGCGTTGTCGGTGGTATCGAGCTTCCTTCTCTTGAGGACGCAGGTATCACAATGGACTGGTTCATAGAGCAGCTGAAGATCGAGCAAGAATGGGCCAAATTGTATCCTTATGCGCTCTCACCAATCGCAGAGTCCGGCATCATGTTCATCATGAAGACAAGCGCGCCCCAAGATTCTTGGGACAAGATGAAGACCCTGATACTAGTCAACAAGTTCCTCAATGGCTTGGTATCAGGGTCTCATACAGAACATAACAACACCAGACTGATCTTTCATCCGTGGCCACAACCAGAGTTTATGCCGAACATCGACCCTCGCGGGTCCATGAGACCATCACCCCTGGAATGTCCCAAGGCAAACCTGCAGGAGATCTTTTCGACCTTTTTCGACCATGTCCTCTGGACAAGAGCTACCGACGTTCACTCATTCAAGAGCCAGATTCCTCGCGACACATACGATCACGTACGACGTGTATATCGCGGGAAAGCACTGCTCTCACGTACCCTGGGGTGTCACCTTGCCGCTCCCGACGCCCGCTTGAACATCAGTCCTGAACTCGTTGTATATGGACCAGCCAACGATGGAACCGATAGGCTTCAGCCTGTAATCAGCCTCAAGAACAGCCAGATGGGCAGCACACCAGCACCGTTCATCAACCCAGCTCTGCTCGCTGAAGAGTACGAGCGCAGACACCCATATTGGTCCCAGCACAGACAGAGAAAGCCCTAGGAGCTGCCAGAGAGGTACTCCCACCACTCTGTAGAGGACCCGGTGATGTCGCAGATGATTATGCTCGGACAAATCGAGCATTACATCGATCGAAACAAGCCGTGCTGGTCTGATGAGATCTCCGACGCCCGAAAAAACGACATCGAGTGGCGAACGCAGCCCCAGCATCCTCTTCTCCGCCACCCCCTATCCATGGTGATGCATATCCAGGATGGCCTCGGCCCACGAGATACACCCTTGAATGCGATTATTGGTCCTTCGGGAATTCCGCGTGCACCAAACTTCGGCAATAGACTACAACCTGCTCGAACAGAGATCCCAGGGGAAGCATTTCGCACTGCGACAATGGAATCGAACACCATAAATGATCAATTTCGAACACTTGAGCTCGAGGATTCTGGGGAGGAAGACGATTCCGAGATGGAAGAGGATTATTCTGAAGACGAGAGTGACTCTGAGATGAACGAAGAATGAGTTATGTAGGCAGATTCATGTATTAAATTATGCAGTACCAAGAGCTGAGATCTCCCATTCAACGTGAAGTAAGAAGCCGAGCAATCACCGCAACTTCACAAGAAGCGATCTCGCCAAGTAAGAAAGAAGAAAGAAGAAGAAAGTGAATGATTGAGTACTATTGCAAAATCCCAAAAGTAACCACCGAGAATAAATCGAAGTGGGTGACCCTGGCGCTGTAACGCGTCCTTGACGACGACTTGTTAGCGACCCAGAGTTATCCCATTGTCATAAATCCACCAATTGTCAAACCCCGCACATATCGAAGCAAATCAACATTCCTTCGCAACATCGCCACTTGGCATCGAAACCGAGTACTCGAGTTCCAGTTTTACGGCCTTACCTGCATTCAGCGAGACCTCCCACGAAACCTGTCCGCTCTTCTTAAGAGATGCCATAGCTTTGCCCCAGTCTTTATCCTCTGCAGTTTCACGTCCAGGAGTGCCAGTCGCTTGACGCGGTCCTTCAACAGTCAAGCCTCGAGGACTGAGTAACTCAACTCGGAGGCGATCGTCCTCTGAAACAGGGATTTGATCCAGCACCAGAAGGCCAACGGGCTTTTTGGCAGTGACGCGGGTGTTGTGTACTGTGACAGCGCGAACATAGACAGAGCTGTCTTCTTTGCTGAACACTCCAGTCGTGCTTCTTCGGACATCAGGCCTTGGGTAAGTGACTCTGATCGCTGAGTCCACACCCAGACTCAGAGTAAAGACTTCGCCGGAGCTACATCGAGGAATTTTGCTCTGCCCCATGAAGCTACCGTCAAGTGTCAAGCTCGCAGGACCACGGAGTAAAGTAATTTTACTGTTGTTCTTGAGTTTGGCTTTGAGATAAGCCACTGGCTGATATTTAGCCACAATGGTGTGGCTGAACAGAACATTGGTAAACTGCAGGCGAGCAACACGTTGCTTCGAAACGGTGAACTTGGGCACGAGAGTCTTGAGGCCGGGAAGATCGAAGATTGTGGTGAAGCCGGTCTCTTCAACAAGAGAATTTTGGAATTCGAGGGATGGCTGAGCATCTGTCATAGTTGCATCTTCACCTAGAAAGGCATCGAAGTCGAAGTTAGAGGAAAAGTCCATCTGTGACATTCCTGGGAACTGCTGTTGCTGTTGCTGTTGCTGTTGCTGGATCTGTTGGGATTGTGCCACTTGGTCCATAGTCATCATGCCAAGTGACTGGGGCTGTCGCATCTGCGACGCTTGCGCTTGAGCTTGCGCTTGTTGCTGCATCATCATCGCAGCAGTAGGAACAAGAGGGGGAGGGGGAGGGAAAGTATGAGGAGCAGGTGGAGCCATGGAATCCTGCTCCTGTCTAGCCATCATCAGCCTCTTCTTATTCTGCTGTTCCAACATCATCAACTGCAGCTGATAGTCATTCAGAGCTTGGCCTGGAAGACCAAACATTTCGCGCCTGAAGTTGGGAGGCTGCTGTGGTCCTTGTTTCTTGTTACGCCAAGTGGCCTGTTGCTGAAGTTCCACCACACTTTCAAAAGCGCCAGTCTCGCCAGATGAGGACTTTTTGTTACCCAGTTTGATATGCCAGGGTGTGAGACTGGGAATCGACTCGTCAAGGCTCGAAGATGTTGCCTGAGAGGTTGACAGTGTGATCTTGCAGTTTTCCCACGTCTCAGATGTTGTGTTATGCAGACCTGCATCGAAGCAAAGCGTACCCGTGGAGTCAACAGTTGACAGTTGGATGTCATAAGTGGGAGTCCAGAATGCCGAGTTGGTCACATATGACAACACAAGGTTGCAGCAGGATGTCTCTTCCAGGTCTGCAGTCTTACTCCTGGGCCGCTGAACAAGTTCAACCTCGCTGGATACTGATTCCCGGCGAGAGGAAGCCGGCGTGTAGGATGAGCTCACCTCAAGTTGTATGTGTATGGTATAGCAGAAGAGCGGCCAGCAACGTGAGCGCTCGTTGCGAATACGCTCCTTTTCCTTGCGCTTCTCCTCTTGACGCTTCTGGCGCTGTTCCTGCTTTTTCTGGACGGATTTTTGGATTCTGGCCTTGTTCTTGGCCTCCTTCTTTTGAAACTTGTTTCCAAGTTTGTTCAAACGCATCTGCTCCTTGGTAACCTTGCTAATGGCCTCCGTGAGTTCTCGCTCCCTCTGCACGCCGACTAGACGTTCTTCAAAAGCTTTTTGGTGCTCTTGCTTATAGGTGTCAAGCATCTCACTAATATTAACACCCTCTCTCTTATCAAGAGACTTGGAGTAAATGTCAAGGACCTTGATACGCTCATCAGCATTGCCAATAATTTCTCTGGCTCGCTGCTGTTCGTCTTTGAGCTCGATGAGTTTCGTCTTGGTTTCCAGCAACTGCCCATAATGTGGCAATTCTGGGGGTTCACCTTCTTCTTCTTCATCGTCACTGTCTGAATTATCATCATCATCATCATCGGAGTTTGGATAGACTTCGTCGAAAAGTTCGCGATTGGGGAGAAATTCAACACTGATGCCCGTAATGGTAGCGGCACCGCTACCTTCAACGGTGACCGAATTTTTATCAATGGTTGGGCTCAGCCCGACAATGGATATCTCGTTGACTCCAGGCTAACTAGGTGAGCATAAGGGGAGATATTGGCCAAGAAAGGCGTACCTTGAGAGGCACGTCCTTGATTTCTCTCTTGACCTGTGCTTGGGTGGGGAAGAGGGTAACAGAGCGTGTTCCAATGTCACGAATCTTGTATTCAACCTTATGGCCAACGTCTGTGTCGAAGGCTGGAGCGGCGAGGCCCATCATGATAAAGAGGTCTAGATGGGGTAGCTCTTGGAGGCAGCAACAACGACACTAGAAGGTGTCACGATGATGGATTGGAATGAAGAAGTATTAAGAAGTAGGATAATACGATGAGAGACTGTCTTGGTGAGACAGACAAAGATGTTCGAGGACAAGAGAAGTGAAGAGGAAGAGGAAGAGGAAGAGGGCTGTTGAGCATGCCAAGACAGAGGATAGAGGGGGGAACACGAGATACTTATACTCGGACGACAGATACTGGGGTCCAGGCAGATGGCAGTTCGGAAGTCACTTGTACCGGAACGAGGCAGAAAAAACCAGAGCGGACAATTTGACGTGAGGTTGAAAAGGACGGCGGTCCTGATAGGTGTAGAGCTTGATCACCACTAACACGATGCTACTGAACATTCAGAGAGCATTCGGTGAAGTAAAGGAGCCAATTGAGTACAATTGATCTTTGTGAGGAAAAAGATGATGTTTATTTCAGCAGGATAAGAAGATATGAAAAATATTTTTAGCAGAGCGGCCGACTCGAATGGATGCTTCATCTCTTAAGGTATACGAAAGAGATGTGAGTAAGAAGGGAAACGGTGGGGGGACGTGAGGCCCCTGGGTCTTCAGGGTCTTCTGGGTCTGTCTGCTGATTTATCTGGGTGCCTTATTCTGATGCCTGAGGCTTCGGGTGTCTGTCATATCGTTCCCAGGCCACAATATCAAACTCATATTTTCTATAGCATACCTTGGGTAGGTAGGTATTGTTAGTGAGATCCATGCTTACAGAGTCCCTAATTCGACAATGTTGGCAATTGATGGAGTGTTTTTATTTAATTATTTGCATCGGCAAACATCGCGTCAGATAGACTAGTCATCGAAACGCAACCAGTGAACCCAAGGTTGCTTGTATGCTGCTCTGAATAACGAACAGAAACTCAATGTTTGCTTGAGACAAACCATGTGATTATTGCAACCGATAGTATTGGCTGTGCCGTATGCCGGTTCTCCAGGTCAAACTCTCAATAAGTCAAACGTTCAGATGACATCTTGTGGTTTGCTCACCACCTTACACGGCATCGCAATCAAACCTCACCAAACCTGCACCGGACACTGATACAATGCTTCTCAGCATCTATAAATGCGAGCAATATCGCCAGCATGCTTCACTTTTGAGGCGCATGCAGAACCATCTTGGATGCTCTCTAAAGCAAGGTCAGGCAGTATCGATTTTATCATCACTCTCAACGTCACCAATTGTACCCCAGAGAAAGACGTGCACCAATCCTGCAGGGAATCAACATGGCTGGCGACAGACGTCGTCACTTGAATGGTATCGCTGAGATCGATTATGGCGACGATTTTGAAGATCTTGGTGAGCCATACGGCATGGCCTTTAGACGCCGGCCTCCCTTCGTCCCAGGACCCGGCGGAAGACAAAACATCATCATTGTACACTCAAGAGTTGGACAATTGAGGAGAAGATACAGTGTCGATCAAGAAGTCCTGTTCAATCTCCTACCCAGAGTCCGGGAGGCAACGAGACGCGGAGCGCTGGAATTGAGCACCTACTTCAGTGAGACATACTTGGAAAATCTTCCAGAGGATTTGATAAACGGGGCTCTCGACTTTGTGTTTCAGCACCTATCAGAGTTCACCAGCATTGAAACGATGGACATGTTCGGCGTTGCTATGCAGGACATTGAGAATGATCCAGTCCGTGGTCGCGCAGTCAACGAATGGGCAGCTCAAATGCATGCTCTGTGCATCGTGCTCAGCAACGGTCGAGGGCTAGGATGTTCAGAAGAACTTCTCGGCAAAATTCTCGACTTTTTCGAATTTCTCATCCAAGAAGTTCACAACATTTTGGGGTGGAACCAGGCGGCGGTTCTCTTTGAAGCTTTTGCAAATATCGTTCGGACACATCAAGGGAATCAGGTGCAGCAGATTCGAAGGATCTGGAATAGATTCGACACAGAGGTTCAGCAGCAGATACTGGCTGACATCAGGAGCGCACTGCCGGTCGAGGGCATGGATGATATGGCGCACCGCATGTATCGAACATTGGGGTACTAGAAGCCACCAGAAGCTAGGACGAGGGATAAGTAGAGAATCCGGTCATTTTGTGAATAGTTATGCAGTATTGGATTAAATAGTTGCGAATCACATCACATCATGAATTGCATAAGTCATCCCCAGCCTCATGAATACATTCCATCACCCCACCTCTCGCTCAGCCTATCCCCCCGGCCACTCGGACGTCATGGGCTGGCCTCGTTTATTCATTCTCCAGCCTCTCTCGCTCTCCACCACAATTGTAGCCAGCGCATACATACATACTCATTCTTTGTCGGTCACCTTGGGCAGAAAATCACTGGTTGGGTGAGCTGTCACGGACAATTTGTTCGCCTGTTTAATTATACGTCGTAATTTGAGCCGAGACTGAAACCCGAACTCCCATAATGTCTGACACTCGCAAGTCAAACAAGTCACCGCTTCAATCGCTGGATCCTCGGCCGATCCGAACTCCCTCTCCCTCTCGGGACCGTGACCGAGAGCGAGACCGGCGGGATCGTGCTTTTGATCGAGGTCCGGAGAGAGCAAAGTCATATCCAGGCCCCGAATCTCAATATGGACCTCAACCTTATGGGCCTCAGAACTACAATCCCCAGGATTATGCCAATCAGAGCTATAACCCTCAGAATTACGACTCACCGGGCTACAACCAGCCGTACAACCCGCAGAACTACCCTCCCGTATCAGGTCCTCAAACTGGCCCAAGCAACCTCCCGATCCGTCCCGCCTCTGAATCATATCTCCCCAACCATGCCGGAACCATGGCTACCGCATCAACCCAGCAAATGGTCCCCGCCACAGCACCGAGTGACCTACGAGAGTTACAAGCTCTTAGAGTGAACTGCCAGTTCAATCTGCGCGAGTACATGAGCCTGCAGCGTCAGCGACGAGGTGGCGATTCTGCTGTCTCTGCTTATGAGCTTGAGACCCGGATTCGAAACCAGACCAACATGGTTTTGAATGATCTGAGGATCCTGCAGGGCGAGGTGCGCAGTATCGCGAAAGAAGCCGAGAACCATCGATGGCGAAGATGGATTATCGGAGGAGCTATGTAAGAAACTCACTCATCCCACTCGCTTGGACATAAGCAATTGACCAACTTCGATAGAGCTACGTTCATTCCCTTCATCCGCCGCTTCTGGCGACGAAACGACGATGACGAAGATTCTCACTCATCAGCCAACGACACCGAGTACGCCTTCAAGAAGTCAAAGGGTCTTCTCGAGCACATCAAGAACGGTATACTTGGCAAAGGCCGCTTCGCCAAATTGGCCTTCTTTGTATTTGCCGTGCTCGTTGTGTTCTCTAATGAAGTGTCTATTCGAGTGGCTCGGACCGTGCAGAAGAGGCTTAAAAAGCTGACAGCGAGGATCGAGCACGGTGATCCGGATATCGATGAGAAGGACATGAAGCTCCTCGAGGGCTGGCGATGGAGGGTTCTATTGTGGTAAGACGGTGCCACTATGATGACATGAAAGGTACATAATATGAGGATATGATTGAAACGAGCCGAGGCGATTGCATTTACTCAACGGTTCTTATTGTAAGATTGCAATTTATTTATCTATTTACTTATTTATTTGTATGATCTCATGAATTTTCAATGCTCGTTTGACAATATTTGATGGTCCATACCGATCGCAAATGAACTGTGCTGCTTGCTTGTGTTTATAGGAGTCTGTGCCTACAAGTCATCGCTAATTTATGAGACCTCCACTGACATCACTGATCCCTGCAAACTCATCTCCATCACAGAAGTTGCAGGTGTCACAACTTACACCCATCAAAAGTATCTGAAGGATTACTCACAGAAGCAAGGCTGTTGTATGATCGGAGAGAATCAAGTCAAACATCAAAAATGGGCGGCAAACGCAAAGCCTCACAAGACCTTCGGGGTCAGTTGCCCCCTGTAGACCAAACGTTGACCTCTGAAGGTCCCCCAGAAGATGCGACATCTCGAGATAATCACTATACCGAGCTATATTCAAAAGCGCCAGACTTTCAGCAGCTCGCTCTTCAAGATGCAGATTTTGCGCGATTGTGAATTTTCTATCCTCAAAATACACGAGAATTTCATCTAATATCATCGCAGGTGGAAGAAACACAAAAATGATTTCTTCAATAATCCGGAATGTGTTATGCAATTGACGAAGTCACTTCTCAAGCTGGACTTTGGATTGAAGCTTGAACTTCCTGACGATCGACTATGCCCTCCCGTAAGTCTTAACTCGTTTCTTGACGCGTCTTACGACCTAACGCGTCCGCAGGTCCTCAACCGACACAACTATCTGATGTGGCTAAAAGGCCTCCTTGACAGCACTTCTTATGAGAAACAGGATAGGAAAATCGTTGGATTAGACATTGGCACTGGTGCAAGTTGCATCTATCCGTTGATGGGCTGCACTGAACGTGATTGGGAGTTTATCGCCACTGGTAATACTTTTACCACTCCGTTGGCCAGAGCACCGCTAATCAAAGCAGACATCGATCCAAAAAGCCTCGAGTATGCTCGCAAGAACGTGGCGCTGAACGGCCTCGAGAACAGGATCAAAGTCGTGGAGCGAAAGCCAACCGATGCCCTCATTCCACTCGATGATCTAATTACCAACAACATTTCTTTCACCATGTCAAATCCACCTTTCTACAAATCCGAAGAAGAGTTACTAGAGAGTGCGAGAAAAAAGTCTCGCCCGCCCTTTACGGCATGCACAGGAGCCAAGGTAGAGATGGTGACCGACGGCGGCGAAGTAGCCTTTGTTGACTGCATGCTCAAAGAGTCGCTCGTCCTTCAAGAACGTGTACAGTGGTATACATCCATGTTCGGATTTCTCACAAGTTTATTCGAGTTTGTGGAAAAATTGAGAGAACACAAAATAGACAATTATGCTGTCACAGAGTTTGTTCAGGGCAGCAAAACAAGAAGATGGGCTATAGCA